CAGCTCTGGCCAATGTTATATATTTGAGCATTTATATGATTGATTTGAGCATTAACAGTATACATCCAAAAAAATTGTAAGATAATTAATGAAACGCGGTATCGTTCTAATTGACGAATATGAAGCTTATACGAGAAGACAGTCATTACTAGATATTGTAAACTAGTTCAAATGTATTATCGATTTTAATGTGCTGTCTATATAATTCTAGGCTAGTTCACGACAACGAAAATTCGAGTTTAATCAACAGAATTTTCGCAGCACAAACTTCGGATAGCCTTGCAGATTTTAGCTTAAAAGCATGTTGGACGATGTCAATATGTCATATGATATAGAATTATAATATTTTTAATACATAATATATGACACTTCATATGAGATTGTAATATGGAAATCATATATTCATGTAAGTCATATAACATCTTCGTCCAAAAAGGCGAAAAAAATCATAAAAAGCCCGGGTCAGTCGATCTGGCCGACCTTTTATCTTGTACATAAAATACATATGCAAGCAATTTCGTCGCCCAGTTCAAATGGATAATTAGATATAACAAGTAATGCGGTAATAACATGGGGTTACTAATTTATTTTTCCTTTTTTGCTTGTTCTTTGTAAAAATGCTACAAAATTCGTTTTTTTTTAAATAAGCCAAATTTTTCATGAATTTGATCGATGAAATCTCAACTGCTACTCAGTGAAATTCGCTGACTTTTTTTATTTGAATGCTAAATTCAAATAAAAAAAATTCATTAAGTGATTATCAATCAATAGAATAACATCACCAGTTTGTGTTAAAATTTGCAAGAAATTTTTTATATAGCATCAACTTTTTTTTTTTTGAAAAATTCCGCAAAACTCTATTCTTGTCGCAACATTCAATGAATAAAATAATTTACAGTATCAAAGACAAAATAATATATGTAATGGTAACTAAAATAAAAAATAAAAACTTTAACATTTAAACATTACATGTGATATAAGCTATGTATCCGAAATATAAATCCGAAATAAAACTTGCCATTTATAGTTTAACTATTACATAACCAAATCAATTAAATACTATATTTCAGTTAGGAGGATTAGAAACAATCACACAGCATGTAAAAAAAGAAGCAATCTTTGAAACTATATTCGCATCTTCTTCATTCGCTTCTTTATCGTCCATACCCGATTTTTGAATTTTTTTAAGTTTATTATGTGCACTATCTGCTAGTTGCCATATATTGTAACATATTGCAATCAAGGAAAACACACAACCAACAATAGATAAAGCAGATGGAGATTGATTCACCACATTGGAGC